TAGGATTTAGGGTTTAGGGTAGTTCGGGCACCTTTAAAGGGGGATACCGGATGTATATGTGGATGTAGCAGGATTTCAGATTCAGGGTTTAGAGCTTGCGGTTTACGATTTGAGGTTTGAGATTTGAGGTTTGAGATTTAAGGTTTAGGGCTTTGGGCTTGTGGGTTTGCGGCCTGGCTTTAGCATATGGGTTTGCGGCCTCGGGCTGTCTGTCTTAATCAAAATCTGCTGCAGCATGCCGGGGGAAGGGATATCTGCGTCAGTTCTCGAACTTACAACATGGCATCCACTGCACTGTGCACCTCGCCATCCACCGCACAGCAAGCTAAACCCCAAACCCCAAAATCCGAAACCCAAACCCCTAAATCCTGCACATTATAGGCTAAACCCTCAAGCCTGGACTGCAAAGCCTGTATTTCATGTAACCCTGCATCGCGAACCCTATATGTGCAAACACATCTGTATGTAGATAATACTAGGAACGATAGTATTGGAGCTTCTACCAACCCTACATAATCTCCCATCAAGACCCGCCATGGCATATATATATATATGTATGTATATATATATAAATATGATTGTATTTACTTATTTATAACCCCTATATATCCGTAAGGTCTCAAGAGGTTGATAAAACTGCCATACCCTAATACCTCATCCCTCAACCCCTCACTCCTCAACCCCTAAACCCCTAAACGCTGAACCCTAAGCCCTAGCCAAGGAACGCTTGGAAACAGGCTGCTGTCAACTCTCACAGGCCACCGGTGCAGCTGGTAGAACCTCAGCTCCACGCAAGCAATTGCAAAGCTAGGGGGCGTGAAAGGGCTTTAGGGGTTTTAGGGTTCTTTAGGGGTTAGGGGTTTTAAGGTTTGAGGTCTTATTGTTTTTGCGGTTCAGGGTTTTTAGGGCAGCTTCCGTACTGAACTAGGAATACTGCTTCACAATCCATATTATCGGTATGTCAGAGTCTAGGTCAAGTTCGTGTGCTTGCTATAAGTGGGTTGTAAGGCCCTTGGAACTATTTGTGAAAGGTTTTGTGGGTAGCCACAGGGCAGAGCATCATCTTTCCAAATTGTGCCTATGGAGAAATCATGTTTACGTATTCTACGAACTGCAGCTCTCTGCTTGAAGAGTAGTGCTGAATTTCGCATGATTGTGAAGATGGAAAAGTCATAGTACATTGGGGCTCCCATTTTGGCAGCCTCTGCAATGCGGATCATGACGCGTTATTACCTGAATACTGGCCAAACTCAACTACTACCCTAGCCCAAGCAACGTGGAAACCCCTGTACACCCCTTTTGAGAAGCACCGTGATCTTTGTAAGGCCGCCCCCTTTCAGCTTCCATTTCAGTTTCTCAGAATACGGAAAGAAGGAATCGGAAAAGACCCCAGGGCATGGTTAAATGTTTGGGATTATAAAGGCGTTGCTGCAGGGATCCCTTCTTTCAATCCCTTTCCGACAAACAACCAGATTCAAATGGTGATTCATACAGCCAATGGTCAAAATTAGTCGAAATGTAATCATACATCAGGCTTCGGAATGGTTGTGGCTAATTCTGGGGTTGCTGTTAAGGAACTTAAGCTAAGTTATTATAATATGGGATATTCAGGTTTTAGGGTTTAGGGCTTAAGTTGCCATAATATGATATGGTTTCCGTTGTTAGCAACTTAATTAAGTTCCTTAACAGCAACCCAGTAATCTCCTATCATCCACATTATATGAGCAGCTACCTAAATTATTAGAAAACAGCTAATTAAAAAATCGCTTTGGGGGGGGCCT